TCACAAAGTGAAAAAGTTAGTAATGCGTTTTCCCCCTCTGGCTCTTATGCAAGCAGTTATTCGGCTTGGCATCGATTGATAGAAGTTGATGTCCTCCTGAGCGATATCGTGCCCAATTATGTCCAACTGGCGCGTTAATCGTCAACATCCCGAGCTGGTCGGAGGGCCCTGCCCATGATGCTCCAAACGTGCTCAATATGAGAGAGATCCGGCGACCTTGCTGGCCAAGGTAATGTTCGGCAAACACTAAGGCAAGCAGTAGAAATATGTGTTGTGTGGGGGCGGGAATTTTCTGGCTGAAATGTAAGCCCAGGGTGGCGTGACATGAAGGGCAACACAACGGGCCTTAGAACTTCGTTGACGTTCGGCTGTGCAGTAAGTTTCCGATGGATGACAACCAAAGTAATCCTACTATGAAATGAAATGGCACCCCAAACCATCACTCCTGGTTGTCGGCCTGTCTGCCGGAAGACAGTCAGGTTGGTATCACACCGCTGTCCGAGTCTTCTCGAGACTCGCCTTCGCTGGTCATCGAGGCTCAGTTCTAAGCGCGACTCATCACTGAAGACTATTCTACTCGAGTGAGTGACTTCCAGTGCGAATGAGCCCGAATGAGCACTGCAAACGGGCTTGACGTTGTATAGAGGTCAATGGTAGTCTGCGCAAGGGGCGCTGTGACCTCAGCCCCCTTTCTGTGAGTCGTCTATGAATGGTCCTTGCTGCCACTGAAGCACTAGCGATGATAATGACGTATTTCGGGCTCTAAGTGTTGCTCTCAATATATCTCGGTCTTCACGTTCTGTTGCTCTTCTAGACCTACCGCTTCCTTCTTGACGCTGTGTGCGGCCATGGTTCACCCATTCCTGCCAACATCGTCTAATAGTGGCATCGCTCCTGCTCAAATGTCGAGCTATTCGACGATAAGACCAACCGGCTTCTTTGAGACCAACTACACGACCTTTCTCAAATTCTGACATCTGCGTATATCGTTCGCCCACCTGTATGCGAAGCATAGTTACTGTCTACCAGAGTACACGGAATGAAATTCGTGAATAATTTATGATCTGGAATCTTAATTTCTCCTCGTAAATATCCTACCAGTTGCGCAGATGAGATACGCTGTAGCGACAACCGTTCATTCATTGACAGTCAAAATGTAAAAGTTTGCATTTGTGTCCAATTTGCTCTATATCTTCTCGGTGCGTCATGATGCGTCGTTTTTTTTTTTTTTTTTTTTTTTTTTTTTTTTTTAGTCCAAAGGGATTTGAATCCCGAAGGACTATTAGTTTCGTTTTGGCATTTTGCGTCGGACTCATAAATGTCGGTTCACTTTTCAAACTGTTGCCACAAAATGTTAGAGTCCTGCATTATATTTGAAGAAATTAAATAATGAAAAATCTGCATAAATGTATGTATATTTCTCGTATTGTGATAAAGCAACGGTACATAGAGTCATCGAATTTTTGAATAACGTAATCCTCCAACGAATATGAGCATGTGGAAGACCAAATTTGAAATTTGAAATTTGTTTTATGATCGATTTCCTATTTTTTTAAAACTTTGACGAAATTTTTGATTAACAAACTCAAGGATTTCAAAGCGAGCAATGGCAACGTTGTGCAGAAAAAACATTTTTATCTCCAGCGCGTGAGTCTCTGTATCGGAAATTCTAAAGATATGCTCGTTTTTAAAACTATTTTGCGAATTGCTGTTGCACTGGATCTTATGGTTTAAGTGCGAGGAACATGATATTTAATAAAGAAAGGTAACACACAAAACGTTAAAAAACGCCCCTTTGGACGTAATTTAAAATCTGAAAGATTTCAGATTTTTTTTTTTTTTTTTTTTTTTCACAGAGTGTATTTTATCCTGTAATGCTGAGGGTACCAAAACGTTCTTTCCTTCTATTTACCATAGACTGCATTCGGAGTCTTTCACTAATTTTAAAGTATTTCAGTTTTTGTCTAGTCATGGTAAATTTGCAAGTCACCTGTTTCGTTTCAATTTAAGAATAAATAATTTATATGAGTGTTCGAAAAAAGGTATCAACAGTGGAACATTCAATTTTTTTCTCTGCTCTTCCTTGGATGGCCCTAGATTATGCTTGCAGAACGATTTGAAACCTTTTGGTTTGACTTAGCCAGTGAACTTATCATTGTTTTTTGTGAAGACTAGACCGCCGTTCTCGGTTTTGTTCGTTACATTTATGCATGCAATATTTAATGCTTTAGTTAATGTAGTTTCATAAGCCTCGTGTTGTACATTTGTGGTGCACTGGATGATTATATGCATTTAAAGAAAAGTTTGGAACATTTCAGTTGATTTATTTCATCATCATGAAGACTGAAGAATTTCAAAACCATATTGCACTCCTGCAAAGTTCATCCGATATTTACTAGCAATTCAAGATTAGAAATACAATCTTATAAAGGCTGACATTTGCCGTGTTCGTCCCACGTTAGGTTAGAGAAACTACCTTATACGTATTCTATTGAAAGTAACTGAATTCCTTTTCTTTGCGAATAAGAGAATTATTTTTAAGATCTTTAGTGAAATTTCATACTTTAATCTAAAATATAAAAGACAAAAGAAATTCCAGAAACCATAACATCAACAAATTTACAAGAAAGTTCTTCTCAAAGTCAAAATTCAGCTTTTGTTTAGTATACTTTTAAAATATTTCAGAGACGCTGAGAACTACTGTCTTTTCTTTGAATTGTTATTCGTAAAATTTCTTTTGTATTTTAAACATTATTTCGTAAATTCTTAAAATAAGGAAATTTATCTGAGGGTTTATCTGGTTACATAGATGTAAGAAATAAAATATCGTTACATCTAGACAAAGCATAAGTATTTTAAATTTCACTCAAAAAATGGAATGGGTTTCTAAATAACAATATAGTAAATCTTTTAAAGTGGTTTAAATCCTTTAAAGTGATTTATAAAATCTTTACAGAGTTATTGCTAGTATAGTCTTTGGATGAGAGAAATAGAATATATAAATAAAAAATTACCTTCTGGGAAATGTGAAGCGAAATTCTAAATTAAAAATCAAATTGAGATACTACTGGGAAAATAAAAAATGTAATTTGTAATTAATTAAACTGGAATAGGTAATTAAAATGCTCAGTTAACAAAACGTAAATTCAAACAAGTAAAACAAGAGAATCATTGTTAATTCCATAAAATGATCTCGATTTTTCAGGAGGAACTGGTATCTTCCCATACAGCCACCAATAATTCGTCAGAATCACGTTTCCTCATTTAGCATTTCTGAACAGGATTCCTATTCCAGTTATAAATTTTTAATCAAATTTATAAAATCTCAGTTTAAATCTTAAAGAAGTTCGAAACTGGGACATAATTACCCGACGTGATGATAGAAAATTAAATACACAATTCATTAAAAATTAAAAATAAAAATAATTAGGGTATTCATACAGAACAATACTTCAAGTTCAAAATAAGAATAAATGAAAAATATATGAAAAAATTAAATAAAAAGAGAAGCAAATTAAATAAAATTAAACTTATTAGCTGGAAATATGTTTAAGGAAGTGATAGGGAGCACAATACTCAATCAAATTCATAGATTTAAAAAAGAATCTGCGCAGAAATTGACGACTTAAAAGATCAGATTGCTTTACTTACATAAGTACATAGCAAGAAAATAACATCCAAAGAATTTATTAATTATTAAATTAATAAAAAATTAATTACGAATCCCAATTTTTGATCTCCACAATAGTACATATTTACTATCTTACTTCACGTTTCCTGGGAGATAATCTTTCATTTATATGTTCTGTATTAAAATAAACTTTTAATCTTTGCAGCGATAAATTTGATAGCGTTGGATTTCACTATTTAAGTTCTTTCAAAATTAATTTTGAAACTCATAAATTGTAAAGTTTATTTTTGTATTTCTTTATATATATATGTAATGTTTTGGAAGCGTAGTCGTAATGGCATAGTGGCAGACTGGGAAGAGAAACAGATGATGCCGACACAAAATTGAATTTGACGAATTCGCAATCTTCATTTCCACGCATATAAAATCATCTCAGTAGATATTTATCTAAGCATAATGAAATAATGAAATCCGATACATTTCTATGATTCAATCATAATGAAATATGTGAACCATGATAAATTTCTATGTACATCGGCTTTTAAAAAGAAATGACATAGGCAGTGAAGCAAAGGTAAATTGACGCGATGTTGACAGAGCAAGCGGGTTTTAGGGAAGGAAAGAATGATATAATTAATTCGCCAGCCGGTATTAGTACTATGTCTGATGTAATTGTAGAGACAAGCTATGATTGGTTAATTTGAGATTGTTATGTGATAATGGAAGGATCTCGATTTCGGGAGAAGAGATGAATATAGGAGAGCACAAAATCTAGAATAGTTAATTTTGAGGTCGCCAATTATTTTTATTGCATTTTGTTATATTTTACATATATATATTGTCCAATGTCTGTGAGAAGGCCTGCTAATTTCTACCCTTTTGTATATTCAAAAGAAAAAAAAACTTTACGGTATGTCACCCTTCATGACACGTTATCCTGAAGTCATTTTCGAAAAGGACAATGATAGGCCTCATTGTCCTTGCAAACTGGAGAAGGAGAAGGAGTTCATAATAAATGAAGTAATAATGATTCAGAATCATTAATAGTGAACGTATAATAACTCGTAAATTTCTGGAGGAGGAGCAGTAGCAGTAACAGTAGGTGGTAGTGGTAGTAGTAAGAGGAGAAAGAGGAGTAGTAACAGTGGTAGTAGTAGTGGCAGTAGTAACGGTAGCAATAGTAGAGTAGTAGTAGCGGTAATAATAGGAGGAGAAGGAATGGTAGTAGCGGTTGTAATAGTGGCAGTAGTATCAGTAGTAATAGCACCACTAGCAGTAGTAGTAGCGGTAGAGCAGCATTAGTAGCACCACTAAAGCAGTAGTAGTAGCAGTAGCAGTAGTAGTAGCGGTAGTAATAGGAGGAGGAGGAATGGTAGTAGCGGTAGTAGTAGTGGCAGTAGTATCAGTAGTAATAGCACCATTAGCAGTAGTAGTTGCAGTAGCAGTAATAGTAGAAGTATTAGTAGCACCACTAGCAGTAGTAGTAGCGGTAGCAGTAGTAGTAGAGGAGGAGGAATGGTAGTAGCGGTAGTAGTAGTGGCAGTAGTATCAGTAGTAATAGCACCATTAGCAGTAATAGTAGAAGTATTAGTAGCACCACTAGCAGTAGTAGTAGCGGTAGTAATAGAAGGAGGAGGAATGGTAGTAGCGGTAGTAGTAGTAGCAGTAGTAGCAGTATTAGTAGCACCACTAGCAGTAGTAGTAGCAAAAGCAGTAGTAGTAGCGGTTGTAATAGGAGGAAGAGTAGCGGTAGTAGTAGTGGCAGTAGTGGCAGCAGTAGCAGTAGTAGCAGTAGTAGTAGTAGCAGTAGTAGTAGCAGTAGTAGTAGCGGTAGTAATAGGAGGAGGAGGAATGGTAGTAGCGGTAATAGTAGTGGCAGTAGTATCAGTAGTAATAGCACCACTAGCAGTAGTAGTAGAAGTATTAGTAGTAGCAGTAGTAATAGAAGGAGGATGAATGGTAGTAGCGGTAGTAGTAGTGGCAGTAGTAGCAGTAGCAGTAGTAGCAGTATTAGTAGCACCACTAGCAGTAACAGTAGTAGCAGTATTAGTAGCACCACTAGCAGTAGTAGTAGCGGTTGTAAGGGTATAGCGTAGTAGTAGTAGTATAGCCTTATTAGTAGCACCACTAGCAGTAGTAGTAGCAAAAGCAGTAGTAGTAGCGGTAGTAGTAGTGGCAGTAGTAGCAGTAGCGGCAGTAGTAGTAGCAGTATTAGTAGCACCACTAGCAGTAGTAGTAGCGGTAGTAATAGGGAGGAGGAGGAATGGTAGTAGCGTTAATAGTAGTGGCAGTAGTATCAGTAGTAATAGCACCACTAGCAGTACTAGTAGCAGTAGCAGTAGTAGTAGAAGTATTAGTAGCACCACTAGCAGTAGTAGTAGCGATAGTAATAGGGAGGAGGAGGAATGGTAGTAGCGGTAATAGTAGTGGCAGTAGTATCAGTAGTAATAGCACGACTAGCAGTACTAGTAGCAGTAGCAGTAGTAGTAGAAGTATTAGTAGCACCACTAGCGGTAGTAATAGCAGGAGGAGGAGGAATGGTAGTAGCGGTAATAGTAGTGGCAGTAGTATCAGTAGTAATAGCACCACTAGCAGTAGTAGTAGCAGTAGTAGTAGCGGTAGTAGTAGGGAGGAGGAATGATAGTAGCGTTAGTAGTAGTAGCAGTAGTAGCAGTAGTAGTAGCAGCAGTTGCAGCACTAGTAGTAGTAATAGTTAAAGGTAGTAGTAGTAGTAGAAGTAGTATTGTTTTTGTTCCATTTTTAATGGATAAATTTCAGAAACTAAATGCAACACACGAAGACAAGCAGTATGCGCAGGCAGTGGTTAAGCAATAGTTCTTTCCTGCTTCGACGATCGAAGTATAGACAAATTTTGCAAATACAGTGTCAAAAGTTATGTAGAATCATGTAGAGAATGTTATAATCAAAAAGGGAATAAAGACCATATTCGTTTGTACCAAAGTGAACATTTTAAAGCGAATAATATCAAAGTTTATGACGCGCATGTGTTGCGAAGATTATTGATTTTCGTAAATATGTATAATTTATATTCGTCATGAGTCAGATCACTGTAATCATGGGTTCAGTTGGTCCATTTGAAATGCAAAATCATAGAAAGAAAGGTCTTCGAAGTCTGAAGTTATATACATTCATTTTTTTTTTCCTTATAAGCACTTCATACAATATTGTTTATAGTTTTCTTGATTTTCTTGAATGTTTTGTACTCTTTTCTCGATTTTTTTATTCACTGCGTTTTGAATTATTTTTATTCTACCTTGGATACTGTAATATATTATTGCAGTTTTAGGTCATTAACTTTAATTTCTAATTTCAAGACATAGAACAATGCGAAAATTTTAAATAAGTAGCAGACGAAATGACAGCGTCACGTGCAAAGCAAGGAAAATGAATATTTATATTATTAAAAGAATGCGTCGAAATGTGTTCGCTTTTTTCTTTGACTGAATTGTCTTATCTTTATCTACCGGGTGCCCATAATTAAACTGACAGTGCTCACAGTGTTCTGTAGCGCGATCTATTTGCGAGAATGACGCCCACATTTTGTAGGAGATTAAACAAGAGGGGGACGAGGATTCGCGAAAAAAATTAGTTCCAAAGTCACCGCTAGGGGAATTTGGCGCGTGTAATACAAAATAGAGTGTTAAAAATGCAAATTATGCGGATAAAATTTATCGTAGTCCATCTTCTATGAGAACATTACACCCGACAGGACCGGAAACCTGTTCTGTTACCGGAAAGAAATATCGCCACATGTTGACAGCTTTGTCATTCCGCACTTCAGCAAAGACATGCCTGGGGGAAAATCATTTTCATGCAAGATGGAGCCCCTCCACACGTTGCTGTAAGGGTGCAACAGATGCTACGACAGAAATTCACAACAGAAAGAGTCATTACCGCTACTTCCAACTGCATGGCCACCTCGGTCGCCTGATTTTACCCCATGCGACTTCTTGCTATGGGTTACTTTAGGTCCAAGGTCTATCAGGAGTGGTCCAGGACCTGGCTACGTTGAAGGATAACATATCACGGACTGTACGGGAGATTCCTGCAGCATGTTACTTTCTGCTGTTGTGCATACTGTGTACGAATGCCATATGTGGTCCACAACAACGGCAGCCACATTGACCTCATTTGAATGCCAAGTAAAAGGTAATTTCCTTATTGATTTACATTTGTTAACACTCTATTTTCTATTACACCGCGCCAAATACTCCCCTAGCGGTGACTTTGGAACTTTTGGAACTAATTTGTTTTTTCGCGGAATTCTTCGTCAGCCGTCTTGTTTAGGCTTCCTACAAAATGTGGCGTCATTCTCGCAAATAGATCGCGCTACAGAACACTGTGAGCACTGTCAATTTAATTATGGCCACCCGTTATTTTCAGATACATTATTTAAAAATATTTGATAATTGTAAAATTATTATATTAAATTATTATTTAAAATTTAAATTAACAGGGATTGTTAATATTTTATGCATATTTCACATGCGTTTGTTCATAAGCCATCTGATAGGATAAATTCACTGAACTATGTTTCTTAAAGAAATAAATTTAAAAAGCTCGTACGGCAATATAAACTGGATTACTTAACTTTTATCATGAAAAGATTCCAATCATATTAAATGTCATAAGAAAAGTCATTAATCTATCTTTAATGGAAAACTTTTAAAGCTATTTTTCTGGACTTCATACAACATATTCTATTACTTTCACTACCTGAATAAAATCGCTTTCGATTTTACAATTTTAATAGAATCGCGTCTTGTCCAAAAAGAAAATTGCTATTCTAGCATGCAAAAAATAAGCTCATTTATTTATTGCATACTTTAAAGTTAACTCATGTGCCATATAACGTCTGCTACCCAGTGTAAAAGAGTCGATTTATTTGACGCCATCTATTTTAATTACTGACATTACCCGGGAGTCAAATCCATCATCTGGACTCGATAGGAACATACTGTTACGAATTCTGTGTAATGTAACATGAAAAATCTGAAGAACGAAGCTCTGCCGGAAAAATAAGATCACAGGTTTATGGCTATTGAAGATTGAGTAAATGGCAATCCAGCCAAATTGGTGAAATATCATCAAGCCGGCGATGGTTTTGGCGACTAAGTTTCCTCGCCAAATTTAGCGAAAAATCGCTACTTAAGTCGCCAAACATGGCAAACATATTGTTACGTTTTTCCTTTTCTTCTGTCTGACACCAGTTGTTACGTTATTTTCTTCCTTCACGTTCGTACGGGGTTCGTAGGTTTGAAGTGAATAACGACGACACTTGATGAATTATCGAAACACATAATATTTGGCCAATGTTAATCAGGACAGCTCTAATAACACTTTTTACAATCGTCGAAGACAGGTTGGAACAATCAACGACACAGCCTTCACACTGTCATGCAATAACGGTGGAGATAACTTCCTGCAAAGCACCCGACTCTGCTTGGTCGTTCTCGGAACTCAAAGTACTCTCGAGACTCCACCTCAATTTCGCGATGCACTCGTTCTTCTCGGACCGGAGCTCAACACGCCTCTAGGCACTCGCTGCCCGGCTGTCAACTGGATCGCCTCCGCAGGGATTGACTCGCTAGACGAGACAAACTCACTCGATAAGAGACGCACACTTCCTCTCGATGAAGCACACTTGCTGACTGCAGACCAGCAGGGTTTATATAGCTTTCGACTTGTGTTCGGAAGCATTCTGGACTAAACCGGTAAGGACTAACCTTCTATGGTATATCGCCAGTTTTGTCGCCAAATGGGAGATTTCTCGTCAAATGTGGCAACCTTTCCTTCCTTTGCCATTTTATGGCAACCCTAAAACTGCTTTGCGGGGGAAGCCATCTCACCGCGTCTGTACATTTCGTAACAATATTGAGACATTTTGGTCCAGTCCCTGTATGGTTTGGTTTGGTTTATTTAATTATCGCAAAGTACACTAGGGCTATCTGTCTAAGGGGAGGGATGCCTTCGTGGAGGACTTTCTAAGGGGAACTGGCTCGTATACACGTTACACATGGGGAAAACCACGAAAACTCCCATGCAGCCAGCCCGTTCGCGAGATCAGTCACCGGATGACTTGGTACTGTAACTGAACAACTGTAATTGATTCCTATGCCTAACTGTAACCGTACCCGCCTCTTATTTGCAACTTTAACCCTAGATATCTTCAGTAATTTCAAGAAATGGAAAGTACTAGAGATTTCTTAACCTCGGAAAACTAGTTCAGTCAAGAGAACATCTGCTCTCAGTTTTTCTCTTCAGGGTCGTCTTCGGAGTATTAAGATATGTGTGTGCTCAGCTCTGTAGATGCGTTGTGTTTAAGGTTCTTCGTAGTCGGAAGTGTAACGACTGATTGTGCTCTGTGATGCTTAGAAGAGCTGTACGAGTATTTTTGTGGAACGTTCAAGAACTATAAAGTATTTCTTTTGGTCAAATAAATATTATCAATCTTTTATCAGTTCTGTGTGCATTCAATCTGTAGAGACATTATGTTAATTGGAAAAGCCGGAGAGATGAAAAATTTGCAATTGCCTTCGCCGGGAATAGAACCACGGACCTCTGGAATACCGGGCCAGTGTGCAGAACCACTACACCACGAAGGCACGATAGGAAGGCGGGAGAAATACCTTATATACTCCCCCATTTAAAAGGCACTCGAGTTTTTAGGGGACCCAATCACCAAATCCTGGGTGAGGAGAATCATTATCGAAAACCCTTTTAGTTCGAGCGCCACTGTAGAGACATTAGGTTAATTGGAAAAGCCGGAAAGATGAAAAATGAGCTATTGCCTTCGCCGGGAATCGAACCGCGAACCTCTGGAATACCGAGTCAGTGCGCATTATTATACATTATTATACATTATTTTAATAAAAGTATATTATACATTTATTATACATTGTTTTAATAAAAGTATATTTATTAAAATAATGTATAATAAATGTAGCTTATATTTATACATACTACACCATGAAGGCATGCTAGGAAGGCTGGAGAAATACCTTATAAATCCATTACGAACTCGTACGCACGCAACAGTATATTCTAAGCTCATATTGAGGACGAATGAGCAAGCCATTCACTTGAATGTCGAGGATTGACTTGTAATCTATGCATGAGTTAAACACGCATATACACTGAAGTGACAAAAGTCATGGGATAGCAATATGCAAATATACACATGGCAGTAGTGTTGTGTTGCTGGCCTTGATCGTATAAAGTGTCGATACTAAGAATATCAAGTACAAATTAATTTTGCGTAATACTTAACTAATTTGGTGTTTATATATTGCTTAAATCATTACTATAGATTAACAGACTTACCCACTGAGGCATGCTGAGCCGATTATTTTCTTTTTCCAATCTCATTTATTTCCATACACATACTTTCTGGATTAATAAGACACATTTACACACACATATACATACTAAAATATCATAACTTAGATACTGCAATACGATAACTCAAAGGAATGTCCGTGGATGTCGACGCGGACTATTCGCGCAATCCTGTTCCATCGAATAATTTTGCGGTTTAACTTGATGAATTCGATCTTCATATTAGCGCGCTGTCTGGTTAACTTATAGAGCTCTTCTTTTTTTCCTTACTCATATGATTTT